CTGCGCCGGCAGTCCGCCACAAAGCCTCGTACTGATCGCGCGTTTCTCTCATTATTGTATTTTCATATATTTGTTAGTCGTTTGTTTTGTGTCTCGTTAATTTGTTAATAATCTGTAGTGTATCGTGTTGTCGTAATATAGAACTATTTCTCGTATTGTTTCGTTTAATTTTTTATATCCAGTAAACTCCAGTCGTGCGTCGGAGCGGACACACACACTTTTTTGTTTATTTCACTATAGTAAAACATCTCTATGTTTTATTGTCGCAGGCAGAGATTTTTTGCTAAATCTGCTGATTACCTGCTGAAACCTCGTTTTTAAGGGACATGTAATTTAGCAACATTTGTGGCGTTGCGAAATATTACATTTAATCAAAATACTAAGGGAATCCTTTCGGGTCTCTTTTCACGTATGTATATTATTACCGTTCTCAGGTGAATATAATGGAGTCGCTTCAAGAGGAGAACCAATCAGAGGCAGAGAGCAGTCAAGCGCCCACATTTGAAATTAATGAAGCAAACAATTTCCCGGCAATCAATGCCATTAAAACGCTCAACAAGAAAGGTATGACTGATTGCGGCTGCGAGTTCTAAACGTGACTGATCCTAAATTAAATAAACATCAACTTCGATAGGGTTAAAACAGGGCTGGCGATAAATACACGATATGATTTCCGGTAAACAGCAACTTGGTTGTACCCTGTCCTTCGCTATGGCTATTTATGATGAGTGGTAAAGATCACTGACGAACGCTAACGATGTTTGAGCTTACTAAAAACCATTCAAGAGTTTCTTTAGGAAACTTCCATCACAGATATGGCGATGGTAGTATCCCGCATACGGGCTTGCAATAAACGCCACCACCAAGATACTAGGAAGAGCTGAGTATTAAAATAAGCAGCTTAAGACTTTCAGCTATAGCCACAGCCAACAGGTGGCATGATGGGATGTGGTCGTATACTTTCTCCAGACCATTTTATTTAATTATTTCTTTTGTTTTATTTTTAAACTGGTAAAAATCAAACGTTCGGTCATCAAACATTAGATTTTTATGATTCCTGATAATCATAATATGCTGAACTTAAGCTAAACATAAAAATCATTGGATTGTCATCGAACCTTGATAACTGTATAACTTTTCTAATTTAATCAGACATCATGAAGTACGTTGATAGAGATATGCTAGTATACAGATCAAGCCGATAAATACGTGTTAAAAGACTTTCAGCGCGTCCGTTTCCTTGATTCTTGTCGAGACTTTGGCGGCGTTGGAAACGGTAGTTGAATTCACTTTGACGTTGGACAAGTAACTCACGATGACCTGACTGCGGCAGCGTCGACCCGAATATTATGGTAAATCTCGAAGGAAGACCATGTTCAGCATTAGACATCCGAAGACTAATGTCGACATGACAACATTTAAGTTAAAATTAATCACTGACTGTACTATGGACGAGTGATAGAGGATTGCTAGAGTAGCTGGATCTGGACAAGGTCTGGGTACTGAATACTGTCTCTGATTAATATAAATTCCTATAAGCTACGGTATCTTTAAAATATAATGGATCATTTTCTTTGCCAACAGGACTCGCTGCATCCATTTTTGGGACTGGAAAAAAGAAATCAATTTTTTAAATGTATTTGATTACTTTTTTGTAAAAATTTACACTTATTTTAGATATTTTAGTTTTGCATTGTTATTTACGATTTTCTATGTTACTTTTATATATTATCTTTATAACACATTTATTAATAAACATACGTTCTACGTCTATATGCCTCAATTTACTTAAATTAGTAAACTTCGTACTTCAACAACACAAATTTGTAATTCAAAATGACAATTATTTAAAAAATATTGAAAAGCTTCAACAATTTGTGGAGAAATTTATTCATTATCATATGAACTAGATGAACTTTCAGCCTGGGCTTCCATCAAGCTTATTTGACTTCCTATATCAACCATCCTATACCTCTTCTTCCTTTTAACTTCTTTGCCTATCCTCTCACAAATGTCCACAGCACTCTCTCTTAATTCAATAGGCAGATCTGAGACAATCACATCTTTTAGTAGCTTATTCGTAACTTCTTTGTTTACCTTTGACACTTTAGTCATGCAATCTGGAAACTTGGGTTTTTTTAGTTTTGACCTCAAATCTTCAAAATACTTTTTCAGATCACCACTAGGTATTTTCTTGGATAACCACATGACTCCGTTCATACAAAACACAAGGAACAATAGAAAGACGCAAAGACTTACAATGCAAGTTAAAATTGTAATAATTGCAGACTTACACACTGCCGTGTAGTCCGTTGTTGTAAGATCATCGGTAGAATATAATTTCCCATACATTAAATCTCTTAATAATTGCAAATTTTGTGAAATAGTCGTACAGTTAGATTTGACTGGAACTTTATATTTCTCAGTAACAGTGGGTTCAACAACTACACCATATTGCGAACTAATGGCATATGCATCAGCGACATTAAAAGAATCACCCAGATCTTTACAGGTATTGCTTGTAGGATCGTAAACCACATCTGGTAAATCTTTTGTGGGGTCCATAACACATATAGGAATCTTAATGCATCTATTGATTTTCGCATCAAAATATGATCTTTCTCCGTTGTATTTTTGATCACAATTTGCTGGATCGCAATTTTCCAGTGGATCTAAATCCAAGCTAACACAATTTTTATGTCTTCCGAGATTTTTAAACAGAATATTTTTTCTTGTGAAACGTGTGTCGAATTCTCTAATCCATTCGATAGAAGACCGCTTTTTTATTCCATAATAATTATACTCCAAAATAAAATGGCAATGGCCAATTTGATTGTAAGGAAAGAGCGTAGGATAAACAAAAAATAATGTTTTATTTTCTTTTGGTTTTAAATAACTTTGACCACCGAATACAGCTAAATTACAGTCTTCGAATCCATCGTCGTTTAGACAACACTTATTTGGGTAATAATTTATTACGGTGGGATGTAATGCGTCTTTGTTCCGAAGCACAACATAAAATTGAATAGCCACTGAATTTACATCGATTGGGTATATACCTTCTTTTATAATATAAACAGATGCCAAATTATGTTTAACTGTAAACTCAATTAAGGAAATATGAATTATCATTAGATATTTAAACATTTCCTTCTAAAGATCATTTTATGTCAAGATGTTGACATTTAATCAAATTGGCACGTCATTTGCATATGAAGAGTTTTATTACATTTTATGAGAGGACACTAATTTTGTTTTTGTAGTCTAATGTGTCGTAGCTTTAAAATACAACTGTGACGAGGCTTGGGAGAGACCTTTGTCCAGGACTCAACGTGTGTCGGCTGAAAGATAAGATAAGAATTTAATGTCAAAATTTAACTTATTTGTCTATCTAATGTCAATATTTAATTATATTCAGGAGTGATCACGGCTAGTAAGCTATAAGAAAATGGTGGCTGCCAGTGTAATTTTTTAAAGAAAAGTAAAATTTACAATTCATCCTTTTTAATGGTATTAACTGTAGTTGCGTATTCTTCTTTAATCAAATCAGCGGCTCTTTCAGCAATCATCATAACAGCTGCATTTGTATTGACACTGGGTATTGTAGGCATTACGCTAGCGTCTACCACTCTTAAATTTCTCACACTGTAAACCTTCAGTTTATTGTCAACTACTGCCTCTGGGTCATTAGGTTTCCCCATTTTAGCAGTTCCAACGGGATGATAAACATTATAAGTAACAGTTCTAGCCATGCACTCCCAATACTCGTCACTCTCAAACTCAAACCCATCACAATCCCTCCAATTAATTCTCATTAATTTAGCGTCCATATCTCGGAACGTTGGTGTTTTAACTATATCAGTTACTTTCTTTATCCCATCAATAAAGGTTTTCATATCACGTGCATCACTAAAATACTTTGAATATATTTTAGGATGTTCCATTGCATTGATTCCTCTTAACTCAATTTTACCTCTCGAATGCGGCCTACAAAGCGACACGAAAAATATTATCATTTCTTTTTCGGTATTAAAATCAGTAAATTGCTGACAAATTTCATCTTTAAATGACATTATCTCTGTGCACATCGTAAACACATAGGATGTGTTTGGGACGAAATAATTATGGTCTATTTGTACGTCAGGTTGAGTTTTACCATCAGGTACCGAAAGAAAGGCGTTGATGTTTGGTTGATCGTAATTAGTAGCAAGAGGCCCTGTTTGATGCAGCATGTACTCAGTTGTAGCTTTAAGCCAATATTCCTCCGTTTTTGCTTTGGCTCCAGTATTAAGCGTAACTGGTATAGGTATCCTTACATGATCTTGTAAATTTCTTCCGACAGATAGATTGACTAAATGTTTAAGAAACTTCAGTTCTTTAAAATGCTCATGGGGTCCTATACCGGATATCATTAGTAATGCTGGCGTATTGACTGCTCCTGCACTTACTATAACTTCTTTTTTAGCAAAATACGTCTCTACATTACCATAACTCAAAGAAACTGTGACACCTTTAGCTATTTTGGATTGCTGCTCTATATCTATATGCCTGGCAAAAGCTTTTTTCAAAACGTACAAATTCTTTCTTTCTCTTATTGGACTCAAGAAGGCTGATGCTGTACTAACTCTTTTACCTTTATGATTCCCGCCGCGAATCTTTCCCACCCCCATTTGAGAATCTCCATTTAAATCATCTATAAATTTCAAGCCTAGCTCTTGATAAGCCTGTGTCAATTTATTAACTATTTCAGAATGAGTAAAGTTTAATTGATCAACCACAAATTCACCATCAAGGCCATGGTTTCTCGCTAGTTCGGGATTGTTGAGAATGAAAGGGTCGACCATTCGCTCGCTCTTCATGAAATATTTTTTTACTGTTTCCCAATCCCAACCTTCGTTTACTGCCCAAGGCTTATAGTCTTCTGGACTGCCACGCATATGGAGGAGGCCGTTGATGGATCCTGTTCCTCCGAGAACTCTTCCGCGAGGCCAGTAAGACCTTTCGTTGCGACTTCCTTTATTAGTGGTCTCATCTATTTCAGTGTAATACTGAAACGCGCTAGAACTTCGGTGTGTTGCCCCAGAGTAATTTGGAATCTGAAACATCACCATTAAATAAACAATCTTAGTTGTACTAATGGGACAGCCATATGGTATATGCTCGCGAGAGGACACGGATGTGAGACTATGCAGGTAGGAACGCACCAGCTCCCAGTATCAGAAAATTACACATTATTTTATGTACGTAGCGTTCAATGAACTCAACAGTTACACACTGTCACGATCAGAAATATGTACATACATAAATGTTTAATTAACAACAATTTTTTGAAGTTTCCCCCGATACTTGAAAAGCTGTAGAGGCATACTTTGGGCCTTAGAAGTGAAGATCTGTTAGTTTAACTTTAAAAGAAACTACAAAATCATTGATTGCGACCTTAATATTTCCGACAAACTTAAGCTTGGACAATCAAATCTCACCCTGCACACAAATCCAACGTGAGTTTTTATTCGGTTCTGTGATACGTTGTAGTTTCGTCCCTAATTATGAATGTTAATGTAAATTCAACACGAGTGTATAGCAAGTAGTGACTCACTGAATACTGTTCCAAATTACGTTCCTTCATGCCACCAATAGCCTTCCAATAAAATGTAGAATAAACGGGCGAAAACACAGACTAGATTAATAATATATCTATATAAAATGATTACGCAATCAAAACTGTTTTTTAATAATAATCCCCAACAAATAAAACAATTCAGTCCACTCACAATACTCTCTAAGGGAGGATCCCCACCGGCTTCTATCAGCAGCACCTTCCACTCCTCAATTTCAGTCAGTCGGCTAGCCAGTAGAGAACCAGCAGTACCAGATCCAACGATGATGAAATCGAACATATCTCCATCTTGAAATATCAGTACAATTTATTAACATAGTCAATAAGGGTGTAGAGTGCATTCTAGTATTGCCCTGTCTGCAGCAAGCACGGATTGATTGACAAGGATCCGGAAAAAATATTGTTTTTTTATAAATAATTATGTGCTAGAATCGTAGCATTACCACGCAGCGTGACGCAGCTATGCCAAACGAGACGTTCCGGAAATGATATGGACTTACTTGTTAAGCTATAAGATCTGTCTTCAGGCCAATTCTCGGTGATCAAACATTGTGTGGTTAGGAAGTGTGTGATGAGATTTGTGAAAGCCACCCCTGCGGGACCCTGGGTGTAAGTACTGCAACCGTTCCTCAAACACTTCATAATTACTGGAAATGACAATATTTATATTATGAGAAGTCGGCTATTTTGGTCGGCGGCAAGTCGAGCCTAGGCGTTGCCGCTGATACTCCGTGATACCCTGCTTTTTTTAGGAGGAAATCGCCGGACTTCCTCTGTTCGTAGCCAATCTGTGGGTTTTTGAGTTTTTACCACGGCAACACTGGTCGCGATTTGACGGTGCCTTCGCGACTTTACCTCTGTCAACTACTTCTTCTTCTCGGAAGGAATACATGCGCATGTACCAATTTTTCTAATGAAATACGTACTCAACAAATGTTGACGATTGACTTCCACGGTGAAGGAATAAAATCGTGTAATAAAAATCAAACCCGCAAAATTATAATTTGCGTAATTACTGGTGGTTAGGACCTCTTGTGAGTCTGCACGGGTAGGTACCACCGCCCTGCCTATTTCTGCCGTGAAGCAGTAATGCGTTTCGGTTTGAAGAGTGGGGCAACCGTCGTAACTATACTGAGACCTTAGAACGTATACCTCAAGGTGGAGGGTGCATTTATGTCGTAGATGTCTATGGGCTCCAGTAACCACTTAACACCAGGTGGGCTGTGAGCTCGTCCACCCATCTAAGCAAAAAAAAAGTACATGCGCATGTCGGTCTCGCTACGGTTTCACCATTCCATAATTTTCCTAAATTTCCTAAATTCCATAAAAAATTCAATACTTAGTTCAATAGTGCAGGTCAATACTTAGTTCAATACTTCAATAGTGCTTTAAAAGTGACCATTGAGTGCATTTTTTAATTAAAAGAATTTAAAATTATTAAAAAAAAACTTTTATATATGCTAAACGACAATTTCGTAGGTAAAAATCTAATAGAAATAAATGATATTTACCAGAGAATTCAAACATGGATAAAGTCGTATCATACGATACAAGAAAATCGGCATCTCACCCGTTACGCCATGGAAGGAAAAATCTCCGCTCATTATTCAAGTTTCCCTGTTTACCCATGACACGTGTAACGAACAATTTGTAATATATAACTTTGCCAATATGTCGCTGTGTTGAATTAGTTTCGTAACTCCTATAAAGTATGGTTATTGCTGCACTGTTGTGTTTGGAGTTACATAAATGAACATACATAGTTCATTACGACGCGCGTAAGGTCGCAACTCTAAGCTAAAAACTGGTGAAAAAACTTTACTCGCTAGTGGAGACTGATTTTTCCTCTAAACAGAAATAAATTTGAGCAATCCAGTGGAAATATATAGACGTATAATGCTTGTTTTTTTTGTTTTGAAGTAAAATTAGATAAGAAGATAAATGATAAAAAATATTTAATTACCAAAAGATAACAAACAAATTCAGACAGTCAGTGCGGCAGTTTATCGTATCGTTTCCAGAATATTACATATTCCTATCCAGAATATCAAATGTTACAATTACGATTAAGATAAGTGTGAGATGAGAATCAATTTTAAAAATATATTGACACGCAAAATGTAGTTAGTGGCTATTAAGACGGGACGGGACGGGACAACGTGTGCATATTTTATGTGTGTGTCCATGTAAATTCGACGAATATGTGTGGGATGGATTGTTTTTCTTATTTTAATTTTTTGTGTATTGATTGTGTGGTGCAGGACGAGTATATTTTGGGTGCTTGGATGATAAAAACGAGTCATGTGTCTTCATGACCTCTTTACCTCTTATCTAAATTAATTGTAAAAGTATATTCCAAAAAGCCAAATTTCAAACAGACACTAACTAACTCCTACCGGGAATCTAACTCAGGTGCCGAAAGTTTCGGCTAATATATTAATACGGCACTTAAACATAACATATAAATATCTAGAAATACTAAGCTGATCGTGAACTATAACTGCTCACACTAACAAGCTACCTATTCTGTATTATCTTGAAGTTATTTCGGATCTTAGATCATATTCATCCGTATAATTTATTGAATTTTCTGTGAAATACACGAATCCGAATATCCAACTAAGACAGACAATCATAAAAAACGTAACCTTAAAAATATGTTACCTTAATATATAATTTTAATGTTAAATGCACAACATCTCGCCTTAATTATCAAATAGATACTAAATACAACATTATTAATCCATCAATTATGTAATTACAGATTACAGCGAACAAAACAAACTGATCGATAATGTTATTCATGCTTGGAGATAGCATTCCTATCTCTGACGCTACTGTATAACGTATAATCAACCAATTTATTGAATAAAGACAATTTGTGTTACTTTTAAACGCTCCATATAATTAAAAAGTTGTGAAGTGAAGAAGCACCGCCCGCCACCGGAGTAGAGTTCATCGATACTATCTGGAGTCACTGCATTCATCAACAGTGCATTTCCAGAGGTCTTTTCTGCCACGTACCACCCGGCTATGGAATGAGCTCCCCTCCACGGTGTTTCCCGAGCGCTACGACTTGTCTTTCTTCAAACGAGGCTTGTGGAGAATACTTAACGGTAGGCAGCGGCTTGGTTCTGTCCCTGGCATTGCTGAAGTCCATGGGCGACGCTAACCACTCACCGTCAGGTGGGCCGTATGCCTAGATGGGCAATAAAAAAAAGGAAACATGTAGGTCAGTATGCCAGTTACAGTACCATTACAAATATAGTTCGGTGCATATGAAAGAGTAGGAGGAAGTAATTGCAGGATTAGGAGCCGTTATTTGCCACAAATTGGTCTAATAAGATCCTCAGATCGTGTTCAGGAGCTTTTGACAACGTGAATCTAAATACATAAATAAAAGAAATTAAAAGACGTTCGAAATAATGTAATTTAAAAATGTTACTAATTTAAACTTGACCGTTACCCTCTTATCTCTAACTAGCTTTTGCCCGCGACTTCGTCCGCGTGGAATAGTTACTTTGGCATAACGCAAAATTTTACCCCCACTTCATTTACGTAGAAAGTGAAAATATTTATGAATAATAGAATGTTAAGGAGCTATTTAAGGTACCAAAACTGCGCTTTTTAACCGACTTCAAAAGAGGAGACTATCAATTCGACCATCATTTTTTATGCTCACCGATTTCTGCAGAATGCTTGAACCGATTGTGATAATTCTTTTTTCTGTTTTTTGTTCGAAAAGGTAGACTTCCAGAATTATCCTGTAATCATCAAGACTTGATGATGGGATCCTGGAGAAATCCACAAAAATCTATAATTTTCAAAGCCTATCTTGAAGTGATTTGGGTGTTTCTTGTTATTGTTCTTATTCTGTGCCGCCGCGCACCGGCCGACCGGCACCTTGTACATCAATATTACGCGCTTGATCATTATTTTAAAACTGCGATATCTTCTCATACTCATTAAAATACTCATAGCGAGATACTCATTAAAATCAACTGTGGGTACATTTCTTTAAAATTAAATAGTTGTAAAGAATAATATATTTATTTGGATAGGGATTTATATCATCTTTACTAAAAACACTTTCACAAATTATGCTTTATTTTAGAACAAATTTGGTTAACATAAAAAACGTTATAGTGAGCCAACCTTAACATATAGACATATGCTGTGGCGGACTTTTCTTAGATCTTTTAAAGGGGAATAATACTGTCATACATTATTTTAGTGAAACTAACCGTTTCGCATGCACGCACGCACGCACGCGCACGCAGCGGAAGCTCTAAAAGAGAAAAAAATCCCGATTTTTAAACAGTCTTTAATCTTAGCGTGATGTTATATAGCCTATAGCCTTCCTCAATAAATGCGCTATCTAACACTGAAAGAATTTTTCAAATCGGACCAGTAGTTCCTGAGATTAGCGCGTTCAAACAAACAAACAAACAAACAAACAAACTCTTCAGCTTTATAATATTAGTTTAGAATTAGTACCTATAGATTATACCTAAAGGTGTATCAGTTTCTGTAATTAGTTAAAAGAATGTCAGACGACGAAGGATTATCCAAAAGCATTTGATAACCCTTTATCGAGTAAATCAAATTAATTACGCTGACTTCATACTGTGAAGGCGACTTGTGTGAAAATAAATTTAAACGGGAAATAATGTTTAGAAAGTAAGTACCTACATTAACGCAACTAAAAAAAATAATTAACATTCAAAAGCAGATACGCATTCCACCCAATTTAGCTTTACTTTTGACTGTTACTCATGTATATAAACAATATCACTATAATAATAATAATAATAATTTCTTTATTTACTACATAAACTCTTAAATCATGACCTAGAATACTATTTACATATTTAACAAACTGAGAGATTACGCAGATGGCATCAACAATATAAAATTAACCAATGATCCTCAACACTAGGCATAGCCTGTATCGTGAGGACCAAAATGCGATTTACTATGTATATAATTGACCTCAAAACGACATCACTATTATTAATAATTATTACGCTCAAAAACATGCGTTACAAGATTTAACATAATATAATATAATAACTGTATATAATATAATATAATATAATATATATGTAATATAATAAGCCCTGGAACAGCGAGGTTGCAGACGCGGGGCACGTGGCTGCAAAGATCACCTCATGATCAACAAAGCCATACTGGAAGATGCACATAAATGCCAGAAGAATTTAAGTACGGCTTGGATTGACTACCGGAAGGCTTTTGATAGCATATCACATGAATGGCTACTCAAAGTACTTGAGCTCTATAAATGTCCACCCGTTGTCAGAAATTNGCCGTGAAGCAGTAATGCGTTTCGGTTTGAAGGGTGGGGCAGCCGTCGTTACTATACTTGAGACCTTAGAACTTGTATCTCAAGGTGGGTGGCGCATTTACGTTGTGGATGTCTATGGGCTCCAGTAACCACTTAACATCAGGTGGGCTGTGAGCTCGTCCACCCATCTAAGCAATAAAAAAAAAAAAAAAAAAAAAAAAAAGACAAATTAATTAAGCAAAAATATCTGGAAAGTTTAGTAAGCTGTATGTATATCAAAACGACGATGTCTACCACGCCGTCAGTAGCTTGGCGAGAAATAGCGCCCCCGCCAGGCTATCGGAGCCAGTGCGCTTAGTGCGAGCTTTTTTACGCTCTCGATAACGTAAAAGTTAACTCAAATGTATATTCAGTTGGAACAGCGCCCCCAACGGCAAATGTAGGCAAACGTTCCAACTCCATACAAATTTGAGTTAGGTAACAACTGAACGAAAATTTCATGTAGGTACTGCAGGTTCGACTCTTCGTCGAAACCAATCTTTTGCTAAAAGTGAATATCTTGTCACATATATGTTTTCGGCAACCTTAACACAGAAGAACCGCCCAACTTTTGGCAGCTTAATATTCAAATTGTTAAAAGTACATGGATTTTTTAAACTGGCAGCATAAGCATACCTAACGACGAGTAATTTTGATGAGTGGTAATATAATTACTAGATCTGATCTAGTTGAACAAAGGCTTGTATTGTACTAGTAGGACGTCTTGTGAGTCCGCGCGAGTAGGTACTACCACCATGACTATTTCTGCCGTGAAGCAGTACATAATGCGTTTCGGTTTGAAGTGTGGGGCAGCCGTTGTACTGATAAAACTAAGACCTTAAAACTCATAATATCTCAAAAAGGCGGCGGCATAACGTTGTAGATGTAGGTATATGGCCTTCGGTAGCCACTTAATATCTGAAGGGCCAGTGAGAAAGGAAACGCTTATAAGTCGTCATTTTACATTCCTGCATGACTCCTAATTGTTATTATTCACTTGGTGTTAATGATTCTCGGGACTATTTTAAGGTGATCGTTGAGCTTTCAGTCGTAGATAAATAAGCTTTTCTGTGTGTAATTTTATTTCTTTTGGTCACCCATAAAATCACACTGCGATGCTTTCAGTGTTTTATTTATGAATAATACTAGAACCCTAGAAAATAAAACTAAATGGTTAGATGAACTCCTGGGCCTTCCCGATATTAATGGGGACTGGAGCTTGAAGCCATAACAGCCTGCAAAATGCTCGCTGAGTGTACACGCAAGCTTTTTTTGAACTTGGGTCTTCTTCAAACCATTGATATAGGTAGTTTGCTTTAACACACAACGAGATCGTTCAGTGACAAGTAGAATAAAAAAAATGGTTTTGAATTGACTTACTTATATTACTTACTTATATTCTTACCTATCATCATGATATTTTCATTTCACCTCAATGACTTTCATTCCACAATTAACTTTATTTTATTCCATTCCAATTTACTTTTCATTTTAACAGAAGTGGCTTTGGCATTTATTGTGTTTTATAAACATTTTGTCAAATGGGTTACATTCCCTTTGCCTGTCTAAAGGAACAGATAAAAAACATCAAAGTTTTGTGTACCACTATACTGTAATGAGAACGTTATTTAAAATAACTTAAATAAATTAAATTATGTAACATGTATTAATTTTAAATAAATAATAACTTAAATTAGTTTTAAAATAATTTAATATAACTTATTTTATGTTATGATTGTGTTTAATATAAATACATGTTTTGTTGGATAGGAAAATTCACGAATTCGTTGTTTCTAACGAAAGAGTAAATTAAGTGATTTGAATTAAAAATTTACAAATCACACCAGCAATGCTTCTAAAGAAAGTATACACTCTAGTCTTCATCTCGAAAGACCAACAAATACTTTTGGGTCTTAAAAAGCGCGGGTTTGGCGTCAACAAATGGAATGGTTTTGGCGGTAAATTGGAGCCGAACGAAACAATAGTTGAGGCCGCTTCAAGAGAATTAAAAGAAGAATGCTGTATTAGGGTAAAAACCACAGATTTAAAGAACATCGGACATTTAGAATTTACTTTTGAAGGGGATAAAACTATGATGGAAGTCAGAGTATTTGGTTCGAAATTGTTTGAAGGAATTCCTAGAGAGACCGAAGAAATGTTACCGAAATGGTTTCCTTGCAATAACATTCCTTTTGATGACATGTGGCCTGATGATAGAATTTGGTTTCCCTATATGCTGAAGGGACAACTGTTTTATGGTAGATTTCATTACAAAGATCTTGATACAATATTGAATTATCATATTGAAGAGCTGAAGTCTATGGAAGAATTTTATAATAGAAATTTGTAAAATGTATTGCTAATTATTTGCTGATCATTGTGATTTACATTTGTGATACATATTTAAAATTAAGATAATTTTAAATTACTTTTGCACTTTTGACTGTAATTGTATTAATCCTGCCATTCAAATATTAAAAATGATTAAAAAATTAGTCATGATTAAAAGGTACTACTCTAGAAAGCTGGAAATTTGAATACCTATCAAAAAGTGCTACTAACTAATGCACTACCAAGCTGGTCTCTAATAATTATTAATATTCTTTTTGTCTTTTAAGAAATGTAGGTATGTGACCAATAAGGCCTGTAGTACAAAAAATTGAACTATTTTATTAATTGAGTTTGATTCCTAAAAAACAAAATAATAAAAATAATCATGAATGTTCATAACATAAATAAATACATTTTAATAATCAATATATTTGAAAAAGATAGTGTTATTTGTAACCAGTTTTATTTACAGAAATGTTGCATTCTTCACATCAGTATTATTACATGAATAAAGTTTGGTTTTCATTTTGTATTTAATTATTTTCTGCACAACCTTTACCTGACTGATCTATAGTTACTGCTCAAGGCTCTAACTATACATTGAAACCACTTAATAGTTTTAAATCTACTATGTTTCATGTTTAGTGTCATTATTAATTTTTATAATAAAAAGTGCTTTATGGAGACATTGTCCCATATCTAAGGCGTAATATATCATCATCTCATCATTACTTCAGACCCATACAGTGGTACACTGGTTAGCCCCGAGCATCTGGATCCAGGGGCTCTGTTCCAATTCCCAATTTGAACAGATTATGTTACCAAAATTGTATTTATTGATGTAGATCAAGTGGTACTTAATTTTTTTCTTTTCTTTAATGATTGGACGAGCTCACAGCCCTCCTGGTGTTAAGTAGTTACTGGAGCCCATAGACATCTACAACGTAAATGCGCCACCCACCTTGAGATATAAGTTCTAAGGTCTCAGTATAGTTACAACGGCTGCCCCTCCCTTCAAACCGAAACGCATTACTACTTCACGGCAGAAATAGGCAGGGTGGTGGTACCTGTCCGCGCGAACTGAAGAGTTCCTACCACCAGTAATATATCGATTGATCAATGATGTATATATTTAGAAATATATTTTGGTAATCCCATACATTTCACACTTGAGAGGAAGGAGTGCATGAGAGAAGCCGAAGATTGAGCTCACTGCTGTACATTTAGAGGCCTATGTGCCGAAAATAGAACATATTTTTTAATATAAAATTCATTAGAAGTTAAAATGTATTGCCAGCGAGACATAAATTACGTTTCAATTGACCAGTAATTGTGTAACAACTTCGTAAATACAAACCAAAATTTTGCTTATTGATTCCCTTGTTTTTCCTAGTTTCATATAAGTATACACTTATAGAACCTGTACGTAGCTGTGGTGTAGCTGGGTAAACAAAACATATGGTGCCACCTGATTATTTTCTGAATTAAAAAGATGTAAATAAACAACATTATAAATTACAAAAATACTTTATTTTCTTGTTATAACATCAAGTTCAATTTTACACACAACTTTGAACACTCACATTTTAATTTTACTAAATTAGTCTATAGTTTTTAATCATAAATTTACAATAGATTTTGCTGACTTCAACGGAAGCTTGGCCCTCGGTAACAAGAAATCAATAGAAAACATAGTCTTGTGTACAAACCATTCATTATGAGACATTGTGACCTCAACAATGTCTCTATTTTTCTGTAGTATCAAAACACGAGCATGGCATTTTAATTATAAAAATTATTACATTACATACTATTTCAAATAAACATTCTTTCAATTCTCCATTTATGTTTTTTATTGTTGAACATTTGACCTTGAAACTGTTCGCTTAACTCCATTTCACAGAGATATACCATAAATAAATAATTTATAGGTACAAAGTTTGCTGCAATATCATCACACCATTATGCTTTACGGTAGAGAATTTTAGAAATGGTATAAACAATATTATGCTATCACTGTCTTGAGCAGTAATTATACTCAATAAAATGTCCTGAAGTCAGTTTCTATACCATTTCAGATTTAAGGTTCTAAGATGTCACAAGTCATTGACATTAATGGTTTAATCTCATAAAACCTGTTAAAGTTATGGTGTAAGATAACAAATGAATGAGAACTTAAATTCTCAACCAATTCTTGTTGTTTTACTGAGACTCAACTTCCCAGATTGATCAGCATCAATCGGCAGTAGACGCATCACTCAACACACATAGCACTTTATCACTGAGTACTTTCTTCAGGTTTCTCGGCTAGTGCAGTCCGTGCCAGGTTCCTAAGTAAAGCCAATCTGAGGAGTTCCGCTTTCTCTTGGTTGAAATTCTGGGCTCGTAGCTCAAGGCACAGCATCATATCATATGTGTCATCTGCCGTGAACATGGCCTCGTCAGATTCCAATAGCGGTAGAGCATCTAGCAGTAAGGTTTCCCAGAAACTAAAATACAAAATAAGATATTTTTATTAAGATATAAAATAATTCATAATAAAAAAATATAAAATATACAAATTAAGATATTATAAGCATTTCTCTTCAATGTCATTCGGTGTCATGGAGTGAAGTCGGTCATTCAGTAAAAAGAGAGATGAGTTTTGTACAGTTTAATAATACTGTTTATTGTTTAATTTTTAATATTAAACTTGTAAGAGATTAAGGGGTTTTAAATGTTGTTTTCTTATCACAGAGAACACAATAAAGTCTTATATTGTTTATTCATTCTGAAGTACTCCATGTTATTATTATATATATTATTGAGTCTTATTATCGCATATTTTGTTGAATACAAGAATTAACATTAACAAAAAGCACTAATACATGAGGACATACTAAAAATGAAACCAGCTTAGTTGTTACTTACAAATCTGGGGCTATTTTAGATGTGATGAGCGATATGAGGAGCTGTGCGGCTTTTCGGAACTCTTTATTCTTGTACATGCGGTGAAATTCACAATATTTACCTACAAATAGATTTTTTTTAAAAAGATAGGAGTGGTAAGTTTTAGTTTGACTAATCATAATGCCAAATCAATATGTTGGCATGGTATAAATAATACACTGATACTATTGTTAAAATTTTTGTTGAAAATTGATAAAAAAACACTAGTAACTAGTAGATTGATGCCTTTGAAATGTGCTGGAAAAAGCTGCTACGCATTCCTTGGACTGTTATGAGAACCAATGTGTGCCAGGAAAGGATCCGGAGTTTCTTTGGGCACATGCGATCCCCATTGCACAGCCTGGGGAAACTCATAATTCTCGGACAAATGGAGGGGAAGCGCGCTAGAGGAAGAGCGCCAGCTAGATGGGTGGACCAACTCAAGGAGGTGACTGGAAACCGGATACGGGGAGCGGTACATATGGCGCAGAACCGGACCGAGTGGAGAAGGTTGACATACAGTCACGATCCTCAGCATTGAGGGAACGACCAGAAGAGAGAGTAGCAGCCCAAACTTCTTACTAACATTCAGACAACATTTTGATACAAGAAGTTTTTATGAAAATATAATATTCTTTAAGTAGTTATTGTACTGGCTGGTTTGAAGGATTAGACGACTGTCATACATTACAATCGAGACTTCCACCTCGTGTCTTGACGTGGCTGCATTAATTATGACGACTTCAGACATGTTCTGGTAATCAGGTTATACAGGTGGCCCAAAGGTTCTGTTATCCGTCTACACAAACAAAAAATGTAGTCACTCTGTGAACATTATAACCTTCATTAGGATCCGCCATATTCAAGTAGCTGCATACCTAAGAAGAGTAGAGTATCGTCAATGAGCAGCGCCGGCCCGGCGGTGAGCAGCAGGTCCGGCGCGGGCAGGCAGCCGGTGCGGCAGTAGTGGCGCAGCGCGGCCCCGGCGCAGCGCCCCGCCCGCCC